AGAAACATTTAGATTTACATCCCATTTCAGGAGATGCTTCGAAATCCATATTTTCTTCTTATTAGGACAAATTTATATATAATATTGCGAAAAATTGGTTTTTGTAGCATTATTTCTGCCGCTTATTCGAGACACATATTTTGAAGCGCCGAGAGATCAAAATCTTCGGAGCATTACAACCTCGTGTTCGCAGCCTCGCAAAGCACATGTCCTCTAGGCAACATGATGGATGGAACCTAAACACGGTTTCGTCAAGTACAGAGGGTGAAGCATGTCCTACATGACAATGACCATCATCCTTAATATATATGCAAAGAAAAGTTGAGTTTCGAGAAATTTCTTGTTTCTAAATGATGAGCTTTCTTCCATTTCGAGTAAAAGTATTTGGTGAGAAGATTCGAAGGTCGATTCCACCTTTTGACCAGCTGTCGATTGGCTTTACTAGAACATTCCAGCTGATGCTGTTTCCGAGGTAATCTCCTTCAATTCCGGTGAGAAGGTGTTGAGCTTTCGTCCGTCATGTGACGGACATCATCGTCACAACCACATCCATTTGATCGGCCAAATTGCAAGTCGCCTCTCTCTTGGAATTCGCCCTCCTCTGTAGCTGGGTCATGTAATCCTGAGCCAAAGTAGCCCAGGCTGGAGGGAAGTTGGAGCAATTTGCGCCCAAGCAGATACGAGACAGAAGGAAGAAACGTACAATGAGAGCGCTCTGCAAGTTGTCCCACAATCTCGGTAGACAGTCGGCACGCGCCGAGAAGCCCATACCAAAAATCACTCAAGTATAAGCCAGGATGACAAAGATAGCAGATACCATGCCATTGGGCGATGGTTGCCAAGACTCCGCGTCTTAAATACATTTTGAATTAGATTTCTGGTCACGCCAGGTCGCACAATCTGATGAAGGAGTGACTGATAATTGCATTTTCCCGCAATGGTATGAGTAGGCCTCGTGATGTTATTGGGTTTCACTCAACCTCAGAGACTACTCATATGGTTTTGGGTAATTTCAATTATCACACCTTCATCAGCTGATGTGACTTGGGGTGATTATAGTTCTTATTTAAGATCTGATGATAGTATCGAAGCCTACATAGCAGGAATATTAAGTGGGTTTGTTAAAAACACTCATTCAAGCAGTTATCCTCTTCCAACAATGCTACGAAACATTTGGACTAATTTAATCACCAACTTTTGCCCCATGGTCGACTGGGGCTGACCAAATGTTAACTTAATTATGACAAAATAAACTTTAATCCGAATAGACCCTGTGGCCTGAAGTGTACGGACTAAATGAATGTTCTGCTTCTACTACGAGCGGTATGCTTGAATGTCGTGTGTCTGAATTTAATTATGCATTCACGTACCACCCTCGCGTAAACTTATTATTTGACCTCTTTTGTACACGTTCCTGTGTACGTAACCTTTTGAATTAAGTTACGTATGTGATATGCATGTGACCGTATACTTACTTTCGAGGGATTTCAGGCACTTTTAGCTGACACTCTTCTTGCTATAACCGCAATGAGTTGTTTATTTCGAGGTGACGGTAACTTGCATTCAGGATGAAAACATGCTCCTAACAAGAGACCAATAATGCAGACAATGCGAGCATTTTGTGAGTTGTGCTTGCGTGCCCATAAAGGCTGTTTTTACTCGGCGTTGTCCAGTTTGCCTGCGAAGCACATGAGGAGCCATCTGATCTGTGGGCCACTGCGTCTCTGTGCCGGTATGGCTTCTTGAGGAGAGCAAGTCTTGTGCATTTGAGGGGCTGAAGCTAAACAAGAATGCCCACAATTTCTGTTCTTTGCTCACATAAGCTCGCTTGCCGCACATTTCCTCATACCCTCGTCGAATCATGCCGGTAGGGTTGGCTTGTGAGGTAGAGGATTCCGTCATGTCTGCAAGCCACTCCCAAACGAAGCCTAACCAAAGCATGTTTGGCAAGAAAACATGAGAGACGAGTACTTGGCACGGATTCATCGAGGGCGGAGGTGGATGGACGAAAAATGTGCAACAGCTACATGGCGCTAGTCATTCAGCATCGGATTGGGCCAATCTTCGAATCCTTTACACGCATTCCTTCACATCAGACAAGGGATACTAAAGCATGAACATCTCAGAAGATTGCTCAAAGTCCGGTCGTTAACTGGAACATTCTATTGGATGCTGTTTCTGTGATTCTAGAACCAAACAGAACGTACAAACACACTTTAAAGATGGCTTTTGACTGCGTTACTTGATTGATGCGATGCATGTTTAGCAATTTCTGCCGTCGCACGTCTCAGGCAGCAAATGTCAAGTAGATCAAGTGCTGTTACCGTTAGAGAATCATGTCTATGATCAGGTCGGTGTCGTCGGCTCAAAGTAGATCCAGATCTCTGAGACTGGCTGTGAAGCACTGCATAATGACAGTAGATTGATTGTCTTTGGAAATATGACATACTTTTTTCCTGACCTTTGACATAAGTGTCTTGGAAACTTGATATGTTTCGATTGAATTCGGCTGCTTATTTTGACCGGAAATCATTTATTTGCTTCCACTCTATCCTTCCGGTCTACTTGGCCGGTCTCTTCTGCAAGAGTTATGAGCAGAATTGAACAACGAGCTCTTTTGTTTATTCATGTTGGAGCATATTTCATTTGGAGTGAAGAGGCGAGTGGAAGAGATTCCTAAGTTGGTCTCACCGGAAGTTGTGAGGGGGTCGCCTTGGAGCTGTGATTGTAGATTTCTGCAAATAGGTTCTCGGC